AGGATTTTGAAGACTTAAAAAAATTGCAATATTTTGTGGTATTTTTTCAAACGTATTAATGCTTACTGGATATTTCATATGTTTAACATTTTTTATTTTCAATATTTTAGGCCGAAATCCTTCTGAATGTCTTTTCAGAATTTTAATTAGATGTGCATACTTACATCAATATTTTGTTACAACGTTTACATGGAGTGTAACATTGAATGAAATATCCACAAAAAAGGGGGTTTGTATTCTATTGATAAATTCTCAAAATAAGCTAAAAATACTTTTCATTGAAAATATTGACCTTTTTGGTGTAATATAACTTTTATAATTTTTCTTAAGCCTTTTCATAAATCTCCTTCAATTTTTCTGGTAAACAAGTTACCACGACTTTTTCAGCAAATTCTTCAATATCCGAAGAAACATTAACTTCACTCCTTTTCCTTCTGAATATCCCGCAAACGTCAACAACTAGATTCGAAGTTATTAGAAATTAACCCGAAAACTCGATCGCCTTTTCAAACTACCTTGGTTTTAGAGGAACCCCGAAAAGAAATGAAAGTCTTTATCGTGAAAACCGAAAACCAACACATTAAGTGTCTAGCTGTTGATTATATTATAAAAAAATAAAAATAAAATTAACTTTAGGGTAGTCGTAGATAAAATATTGAAAGAAGAGGAAATAATTAAGTTTCAATGTGACGTTATATCGTGATATAACGTCACATTAAAACCTAATTCTTTAATAATTATAATATTGCTTAGCGCTTATTGACAAACCAAAAAACTGAGACCTGACCTTGTGATTGAATTGCACGGAATATCAAATAGTCTATTTAATTTTATAATATTTTATCTGTGCTCGATTCTGATCACGCGATTCTGAACGATGCGGTATTACCCGGAAGAGCTAACATTAAAATTATATAGAAGGTCAAAAAGTGTAACTTTGCCTATTATTGCCCATGAAACAATCCATTTTTAGCGAGGAGACAGGATATTAAGTTTTTTAACGAGTCGTGTTTTCAAGCCTAACATGGCTGAAGGTTGTATTTGCCCCTGCAAACTTCTTGTAGCATAATCTACAAAATTATATTCCCCTCGCCTTAAATCTGTTTGATGCAGGACTGGGAGGCAATTTCCAATTCAGTAGCACATTTACAGGGTTGATCACATACAGAAAAGGATGTTTGTCAAAACATTTTGCCCTTTCAAAATCATTATTCTTAAAGTGAAAAAGAAGATTCATACTAGAACCATATTCGAGCGGCCAGCTCTTTAAGGTGCGTTACAACACGTAAGCAAGGTTACGTGCGTGGCGTAGATTTCGAGATTCAGAAAATTTCTGACCCCCCATACCACTGTGTGCAGGTTCCTGCAAGAGAATCCCCCCAAAATTTAATTCAAGGTTCAAATAGTCTTGATTTGTTAGTTACAATCTACGATATATAATTCGGCCCCATTCGGGCCGTAAACCGAATATCAACAGCGTCTGAGAATGTGTATTGCATCGTTACAAGTACCTTGTAGATTGCATTGGCGCCCTGTAATTCCTTGGTAACCTTGGTACAAACTTCCTTATTTTCGTTTTAAATTTTGACACATCCTTATAAGATAGTTTTCAATTCCAAATAAGCGTATTTACAAGGTTTTGTGTCGGCAACATAACCGTACAAAATCGTTACATCGATTTAACGCAGCCAAATACAGAAACAAAAAGATACTCCTAACGGCCGGATAGTCCGCCATCCATTAAGAACACAAAACACCCCCCTCCAAAAAAAAAAACGGGCTGAAGGTGGATGACTACTCGAAACTGATGATATATCTTGTCTCTTTATGTGATTATTTTCTGTAACACGTCGCATAGTCACAATCTATGTTTTGTGAGTCCTTGATACCGAAAAAATTGATTGACGACAAAAGTCTATCTGCCCGATTGTAAGCAACGCTAACGTCTACAGTTGTCGCCTAAACTTCAGTCGATTATCTCCAAAATTGATATTCCCCAATCGATCTGCCTGATTTGGCGTCTTCTTGAATTTGAAATCAATAATTTTACATTTTGGGGTAATAATCCAAACAAAACTATTTCTTATTTAACGTTATAAGAAAGCGGTAATATGAGAAGTGTTGAAAGACACTCGACCGTTATCATAAATAACGAACTTTTGTTGCGTTTAAACCTCGATAAACGCTTCGATTTACTATCTTCCACCACGTGAGTTATTTGTTTTATTTTCGCTTAATACATAATAACTATTATTAGTGTTTATAAGTTATATTAGGTGTAAAATTCATGGGTACAAGATTTTTATTCAACTATTCGTTATGAATAAAACGTTTACCATAAGGCGGAATAATGTAAACTACTCGCAAGCCATTAATTTTATCATCCATCTAATCAAACTAAGCACCGCCATAATGAGACTAGCATATCCGAGTTGTAGGAAAAAAATGCCATATCAAAGTAATGTGAGAAGCTCATAATTTTACGTTAGTCATAAATTTCCAGTTAGCGTACAAGAGTTATAAATCGCCCTTATCATAGTTAAATCGAAATTCAGCTGCATTTAGTTACTTCAAATTACCTATTATTAATTGAAAACAACAGACGTGTTATACGTGCCGAGTTATATTTGTCCGTTTCAATCTGTTTGCTATTTGTAAACAAAAAGTTGCGTGGAAATGCCACGTCATCGCTTTACGCTTGTCACGCACGCTGCATTCCAGTACACACTTTCGTTTATCTTGGCTGACTACGGCATAAAAACAAAATACGATAATGGTTAAAAATCTATCAACTTCCCAGAAACTGACATTTTGACCCCCTAATCATCCGAACTCTCGTTTGAAGGCGAATAGTTCAAGAGTTTGCGCAATAAATTCAGGCGTCTTGTTGCGAAATGATTCGATCAACTCGTGACGCATTGCTATGGACATGATTGGCAATTTTTTAGCTTTGTTTACAAATAAAAAGAGCCATTTCATAATGTACTTTCGTTTATCTAGTTCAACAAGTCAAAATTACAGAAAAGGTTAATATTTTATATCAAACATCGGTATACATGTACTATACATAACACATAGCGAAATGCAAATTTAAGCATTTGCGGGTCCATTTACCCGCGTATAAAAAAAACTTGAGATTTGGCGAGTTATGTTTGCTATGACAGTTGACCTGTTCGAACAAAACCAGGGCGTCGATATCCGTCAATAATATTCCCTTCCAGTCTCAGCCACATTTATGAAGAGAAAAATGACAATTCAACTCAATGACCATTAAAAATCCACGGATTCAAAACGGCTTGTGCCCGCAACGTTGAGTACAACCATTACACCACTGGAGGCGCAGAGGAAAGATTCTTCAAACGATTGAATTGAATTGAATTTTTGCCTTATTTTACGTGACGAGACTCGGGCCATCAGGATCTCTTCCGTCTGACCACGCAAATTTCGCTATGCTCCTTTCATCAACTAGCAGAGAGAAATGAGGTATTTCTTGGGCGAGAAACAGGCGATATTTGAATTTAGCTCAGAGGCATCATTTAGGCTTGAGGATCTTTTACATGCAATTAAATCTACTAACATGGGACAGCCGGCTTTACTCCCCTCCGAAGGAAGGCGTACGAAGAATTTTGTCGCCCTAAAAATCCACGGCTTCGATCTGGTTTGAACCCGCGAGCTTGGGTATAACAGTCTTGTACGCTAACCGTCACACCATCTCCGCCGCATAATGCAGCGCAGAAGAAACGATAGCGCAGAAGAAAATTTAAAAGCTATATTTTCGATTTTGTATGAGACAAATGTAGTACAGTTGCGTTGATCTGCCCCAGTACGAGTATTTTCGGGCAATTGTAAACACAATAGACTAACACTGTGGTAATTCTTTGTGAACTGAAATTCTGAAACCATTCTCACTGAATCCTTGCAGATGAATCTCTGCGATTGGCATTCCGTTCTTTTACCAGAAAGCTTATCACACTCACGTAATCCACATTCGGCAGTATCGTCAGGGACGACGGGCTCCGCAGTCCCATCTCGTGTGTTAGCGTTCAGAGTTTTTACGAGAAAACAATTCGCTTCCGCTCGTCCTCCGCTTAACCCTCGTGAGACCCAATAAAACATGTGTCAGTACGCGACATCTTGGTTTTAAGGGCCTAAAACGCATCATATTCTACTCATGCGTGATTATATTGTCGGTTCCTGTAACCTGTTTCCCACGTCAGAATTGGCAAACTTCATTTTTTTCTTCTTAAATTGGTTGATGCAGGGCTGGGGAGTAATTATTTAATAGATACATTGATTGATTACTAGTGATTACGGGCGCATCAACTGCTACGGTCATTAGTCCCGTAAGTGAAGTGCATGCTTTTGGGTTGGGAGGTGGTGGTGCTCTCGCCTCCCTGGATACCGACCGATACCGGGGTTTTCCCCAACCAGCAGCTAGGGCACCGCCTCAGCTAGGACAAACTCACCACCTATCTTCCGACATTTGTGGTAGTGTTATGTATGTAAGTGTGTGTGTAAGGGGAGAGAATAGGGTAAGGAATGAGAAGGAAAGATCGCGCGCGATACGTGCCCGTTTACTAGAGAATCCGTTTGGTATTGGTCGGAATAAACACGGAAAACTACGATTCAGAGCAGCTGGCCGCTAGAATTCTCCTCTTCCGACACCGGCAGAACTCAACCTAGCGAACTGGCTAGTGTCGAAAATCCTGCCGCCGTCGGGTCTCAAACCTCAGGATCTCCTGGTCAGAGGCACTGCAGTGATAGCAGTTAATTCCCTGACCCACATCTCTCGGTAGTTCTGTAATAGAAGTAGCACACTTTTAAAGTTTACTGTCGATGATTTCTTACAAACTGTAAAATCACCCATCAATTTTACGTATAAGCGGGATTATGAGTCGAATCCTTTCTGAGAGGAAAGTCTATTCGGAAGAGTGGATGGCATGCGTGTGTTATAAACGATATATCCTAATATAGTTTAATCGTTTGTGCGTGCCCAACAGGTTACGGGCTGCCGCCAGATGGCGTCGTTGAAAATGACGCAATGTCTGCCGCTTGTGATGCTGACGGCCCTGGCGCTCCATGGGTTTGCACAGGACACCCCGCAAGCGATGCGCGCCTACGAGATCTTCAGAGAGCTTGTCATGCGCTTTGTGGACAGCAGGCCGTCCGTCCAGCGCCACATACAAACACTCAGAAGCATGGATGTGAGTGGTTCATTTATTCTCACATTATGTGAGACTATCAAAGTAACCCAACATTTTCCAGGCATTTATTTTTATTTGCATTTGTTGAGATAGGAAAGGGAATAAGTTTTAGTTATAAAGTTAAATGAAAGTAAATTCATTTCTCTACGACTACTCCTGAATGTATTCGTTTCGTTACATATACATTACTGCACGTTATCGAATGCAGTAATGATGACGATTCCACAAGCCGTGCGAGAATAGTATTCTCGCACGGCTGTCGACCAATCCCATTTGTCTTAGTTCATTACACAAAGGAAGAGGGTACTCGCAGTTGCCTACAGAGGGCAACAGCTCTGCGCGCGGCACACGACAGGTAAACAACGAAAGAGTATGCGAGGGTCAAAGATTGCAGTATGCGAGTGTCACAATATTGTTACGGTTAGAGAACATTGAGTGCTATCTAGCCTGTGTTCTGAAAGGTTAAGGCGCTCATTTAGTATTATCAATTTAAAAGTCGTAGAGAAAGTACAGTCTTCTACTCGCGTGGAATGGTTATTATTCACTCGAAGAAATTCCGACACTCGCTCCTATGTCGATTGTGACGTAAAGATTATATTGCGAATAATAGCTATCATTCCACGCTAGTTGAAGAATACACTATTACACTTACTTCCACGATACTTCGCCCCACCACACTCCTCTCTACTCAGCGTGACCTTGTTTTGCTCCATTCTGCTGTCCTATACTAGAAACATTTCACTTTTAAACAGAAAATATCTACAGTGAACTTTGAAGATCATCTCCATAAGAAATTCCTGCAGACCAGACGAAGCAACCTAATGTTTCCCGGGAAATTATTTGTCACTTTCATTTCTAAAACAAGGGAAAGGAATGAATTCTATCACTATTGAACTAATTTTATTTACATCCCCTCTACACCCCTCACCCCGCTTCATTCCGCTGTACTTCACCTGCTCTACGTCAACTCCTTTCTCCCTCACTCGTCTCGCGCCTGCCTGGACCTATGCCCTGCCCCTACAGTTCCCATCTCGCCCCGTCTTGTCTCTCCCCCGTCTCGCGCTTCCTTCCTTACCCGGCCCCGCTCGGTCCCGGTAGTATGCGCTCCGACCATACTCAGCTGCGAAGCAATCCCTTAATACATAAAGGCAACGCGGGTTGCATTAAACACAATTTTGTAAAAAAAAATGGGGTGGGATACAATTTTTGAATCGACCTCCTCATTATGTATTTTGCATGTATTCCAATGGACATTATTACCAACCTAATAATCAAGAACATAATTTCATCCTATTATTCATCACCTCTGGTGTGAATTGAAGCTCTCGCAGCGGGCTTTGCAGTTTCATAGCGTCTAGACGACGAGAACAATGCGCTGATTTCAGTTATGCATGGGAATGCCGCAGCGCCGTGCTTATATGATGACAGACGTTTGGTTGACTGATGACATTGACCATGTTTTATTATTGTAATGTTTTTATTATTGTTATTAACAAATATTCTAAATACTTAAAAGTAATTTTTAAATATTTGGACAGACAATTAGCATAAGTTTTTCTATGGTGCTCCATACCTACAAGTATCTCCTCTGCAGCCTGTGAAATCGAAGCTTCTACTTCTTGTAGCGTCGCAACCCTCAGAAACGTGAAGGTTGGGCCGGCTGACAACCAGCCAACTCTTTTTAAGAAACTAATTTCTTTCTTAACAACAAGTTTTATTATTTCGGTTCAAAAACATCCAGTACTCATGTATATATTCAGAAACTAAGCTTAGGTTATCTGCTACAGATATCATGGATCTGAGAAGCAGGTATACTCACTTCGACCTCTCAAATAATTCTTCTTTTTTTAAGTCCCCCAAGAACTCCTGTTGATGGGCCGGACTCACGACTAACAAACTACCACGTTACAATCTTTTCCCCATATCTCAGCGGCTCTGAGAAGTGAAATCACTCCGAGTTCGTTTCTTTCCCCCTGCCCAAGGTTGGCATCAGCCTACTTACCTTTAGGCAAGTCACAAATTGCATAAATCTTCATATCCAGTTAAATCTTATGTTAATAATACTTGTTATACTCATCATTAAAGTAAAAATTAAGTGATTTGATTCATTTGAATATTTTCAGGATTTGTTAGTTTTTTCTTCCCATCTTGAGTTATATAGGAATGGATGTGGTTCTTGAGTTTAGGTCATTATAGAAATCCTCCGTATTCAAATCCTTAGTGTCAAAGGTTTATCGGAACCCTTGGGACATGTACTACAAACAGATATTTCCGAATTGCATACAGAAATGAAAATAATATTAGCCAAACTGTTTCTGATATGAAATAAAAAAAATTGGCTAACTTGACCAAAGATATGTAATATACCAAATACCATGCAACGACTGTGACTATCTACATATATAGGCCAAACTTCACAAATGCTAAAAAAGACTAGGACAACATAAAAACGACATTACAAACTTTACTTCCTTCTGTGCAGTAGCCAAACACACTCTTTATCATAGATACACTTTCGGCTTTGAATACACAAAAATCCTAGAAAAAGAAATAACCTAAAAAAGATTAACTAATGAAATTTTCATACATAAATAAAGACAAAAGCAAAGTCTGTAATCACAAAACTCATCTAGCCAAACTCAGTGCTATCTACAATTGTATTAACAATAGGACTTCACAATACAATGTAAAGAAGGAAAAATATACAATATAAATTAATAGAATTAATTATAAGTCCAATGTAACTGATGAGTAATGTAATAAGTAATGAGTATATTCATGAAAAAGAAAGAAAAAGAAGGGAGGAAGCGTTCTGTGTTATGTTGGTACGGCTTATACTCTCTAGAATGACTAGTCATAAGAGATGTGATCTGTTTACAGAATGGTTGATATGATGTATAAAGAAGAAGAGAAGGGAAAAGCTGGTGGTATATGATGTTTTAGGCAAATAGAATCAAGTGGAAAGAGGGATACATAATTATGTACTAAGAAATAAAGAAGTATATATTAGATATTTAAAGATTAAGGTTTTGTATTATGCACAGGAGTAAGTAACAACCTGTGTAAATTTACTGTAACATAATTCCAGCCCTGATGAAGGTCCGAAACGTTGTCAACCAAAAGAAAGCAACAGCTCACTACACTGAACAGTAAACTGTTCATGTAGATTTATTTTTCTTCTCAATAATTGCAAAATCTCTATCACAATGAGGAAAGGAGTATCCTAGGAGAGGGAATTTATAGTGCATTTAATCAACGAGAGGTATATCATATACTTAGAAGTACCATACAAAAATAAGTTCTTATTCTGGCCACAACAAGAATCAGATCCCACTGTTCACTTTTTTGTCTCCTAGAATTTCAGAGTCGTTATGAAAATAAGAGTCCAAACAAGAGGCTATTTCTTGTGATCCCCTTGTGTTCTCTGCCCAGACGTGGTGACTGTAGACATGCATCATGAACTCCAAGGTTTTAAGTCCACAGTTGCCTGAAGTAGAAAATCAATTAGTAGGAACGTGAGGTGTTGGAAGTACCTACTGCATATCAAACGCTATCGTCCACGAATCTGAGTCAATCTGCACAGCTAGATACTAATTTTTCATCGTAAATGCATTTATTTTTCTTGATATTTTATTATTTTTGTATCTTTGTCATATGTATTCTTGATATCTATGTTTTGCACATGTCCAATTTTGGGTGACCAAAGTGCAGATTAACTTCTGTAACAAATACTTCTCTGAAGGTTAGGAATGTTGCTGGTTCGATAGTTTTCTTTGTTACATAGAGAACGTACATATCGTACTGTCCCTTCTCATTTGACTCTGAGGTTAAATGGTGGCAGGATTTTCGACATACCTAGATCGAATTCATGCGCTGTCTGAAAGAAAATTCTAGTGGCCGGTTTCTCTGATCAATAGTTTTTAGGGTTAAATAGTGTCGCAACATACTACTATATAATATATCCACCAATGTGTATATATCCACTGAAATCTTTAAGTAAGTTCTTCTTTGCACCTCTATGGCCCATTATCACAACTGTAAGCAATGCACTTCAGCAACCTTTAACCTAGAACACGCCGCGAGAAGGAAAACATCAGGTTCTTGTAACCACAAAGGCAAAAGCTTTGTCCCCGGCCTATGACACTTCCATCAACTAAGAGGTTCATGAACAACCTACAACTCTGAGTTTGGGGTGGGAAAATTGAGGGATACATGTTAGAATTTTGAATGGCAAAATTTCATTTTTTTTTCAAAAATGTAACATTTAAGGTTCTTGCATGTACCTATTGAAATATTATCGAATTTTACAGTTTTATTTCGATCGGTATTATGCTCTAAAAATAAAAATAAAGAAAATCCCCATCAAATTTCTGCTGCCCCAGGCCAGCCTTTCAAAGCGCAGTGACCGTCTTATGTGGCTGACGGCATCCATTGACGTCAATGCAGTGCCTTTGACAGGGAAGTTCTGGGTTCGAATCTCGACGGTGGCAGGATTTTCGACATGCCTAGATCTAATTCATGCGCTGTCTGAAAGAGAATTCTAGCGGCCGGTTTCTCTGATCATTAGTTTTTTCGGATTTCTCCGATTAACACAAGGCTCATGTCGGAGCAGTACCCTAGCAAACGGGGTGTGGATCGCGCGCGATCTTTCCTTCTTCTTCCTTGACCTATTCTCACCCCTTAATTACACATACATATTTACATGCACGACACCACCACACCTGCTTGGAGACCAGTCGGGAGCTTAGAGCTTGTACCGACTGGGGCGGTGCCGCGCTGGTGGGAGATCACTGTTAGGGAAAACGCTCTATAAAGACGTTAGGTCGCGCTGAAATTCTCCATCAGGAGGAAATCACCCGTTCACTCCCGTAAGCATGCACTACCCTTACGGCACAATGACCTCATAAGTTTGACGCGCCAGAAAAGCTAATGCACTGATCCGAGGCGGCGCGTGGTGGTGAGAGGCGCAGCCGGCGGCGCCGCCGACGTTCCCGGTGCCTGCGGCGGCGCGGGCGCCGTGGAGGCGCTCCTCGCGGAGCGGGCCCACGCCGCGCACGCGATGCGCCGGGCGGTACCGTGTGCGCCATTGCACAGCCTCAGCGTGGGCTACGGCTGGCCGCGACCAAGCTACGGAGGTGTTATGAGGGGCGGATGCGTCTTCACAGGGTGGAGCGGCGGCGTTGCATTTTATGAGCGGAGTTAGGAAGCTGCGCAGTAAACCTCTTATGCAGGTTATGTCAAACAAAAAAGTGGATACATTCCGTTGTAAATTTTGAAGAAAAAAAAACTTGTTATGAGTGGTGTGTCAGAGTCAATGTTTTGTGATCTTGATACCGAGGCAATCCGAATGAGCTAAAAATCGACTGTACTAGCGTATATCTGTTGTCGTTATAACACGCTAGTGGCTAAGCTCAGAATCAAGTTTTTCAAAATGTTATCTACTAATCCGATTGTGATTTGAGTCTCTTGATTTAAAACCGATATTAAATTTTAGGATATTTGACTTAAGTCAGGGGTCTTTTCTATTTTTCACAACAAGAATGGCGCCAGCAATCCTAGATTAAATTTTGTTTGTTCGATAGTGGAAAGAACGTTAAAGAGGGTGGTGCATGTTTCATGTTTGTGACAAGCCCTGATTTTTCGATATTGCAAAGTTTAAAATTTTGTCGGAGTCTTCCTACACTAATAAATTGAAAAATAGAGATTTTTTTGGCTTAATGAAATCTGTTTTCTTAAAAGATAGATTTTAAAATACGGTCATGTAAAATTTTTCGAATTAATACTTCGTCTTTATTTGGGTAATTTCGTGGCGGGAGGGTGAGAAACTACGTGCTGTTTTTAGCATAAATGGTTTCTTACAGAAATTTTGCATGATTTAGCACGACGTTCCAATGTTAAGGGTTTTAGTGTATACTACTTTATTAGTTTAGTATTACACTTTTACAATGCGCACAGAAATTTAAAGAAACTATAAGCGCTTCAGTCATATGAACGAGATATGTAGGTTATGCTAGGTGTCAGGAACATTTGTGAACTATTAGGGAAAATATATTTTGGTGAGAATACGACCGTAGGTAATTTGAAAAATATATTGAATGACAAGGTATGAACTAAGTACATGGGCATTTAAATGAACACAAAATTGTGTTTCTCATGTTCATTAAGTATTCTGAAATGAATGTACTGAATTCGTTCCGTTTTTAGCATATCATGAGTTCATGTATTTCAAAGGTTCTACGGACGGTTTTAAAGGCCGTTGAGGCAGTAGCTGGAATATCGCATGTGTCCACATCGGTCACTCGCAAGTCGTTTAGTGCGTTCGCTGATCACTGATTGCTAACGCGCCGCTCGCAGTAACTCTCCTGCTCATATCCAGAATTGTCCAGTTTGGAGGACATTACATCCAACAGCTTCCACCAATTCTTGTAACATTCTCGGGCATTTATCAGAGCAACCAGGCTGCTGAATTCTTCTACAGACAGCGACAGAATGTCGACCTAACTGTCTAATGTCAGTGTCAAAATATCGGGACTCGAATGCTAGGACATGCCGGCCGGTTAGAGGCACTGCAATGTCATTAGATGATTCCCTGAGCCACATCTCCCGGTCATTCTAGAAGATCAACAGACTAAGGTTTATTACGCAATATAAACAATTCAGTCTGTTTTAAAACTTAAAAAAAAAGTTAGCCACATTCAGATTGAAGCGCCAATTTTAAGAAAATAGTAGTTAGCAATAATAAATTCCAATTAATTGAAAATATTTTATGAGAGTATTTTAATAAAAACATTCTAATACTAACATAAACTACTGGAGTCACAAGAGCACAATCTTTCTCGCGTTAATGGCAGGGTTATGTAACGCCGCAATCGACTAAAACTTCTTGCTCTTCCCAACCTATCACTTGCAATTCTAAACCACTTGAAAATGGAGTACCGAAGTTTAAAAAGATGTCTATTTTTTGTCAAATCCAGTAATTTAGGTATTTAAGAGAAAATTTCGATTTTTTAGGGAATTTATTTAAATTAACCTCAAAGATTAAAACATCCCTTTCATTTGCAAGGGGACAGCCGCACGAGCCAGATCGATTCGGAAATATCAATTTGGGTGAAAATTTTGTGCATGAGTTATGCGATAGTGTTGTTTATATACCGACGGACAAAATAGGTTTTCACAGAACTTTTTCGGAGTCAAGAACAGTAAACTTGGATATTGATCACACTACGTATTCGATAAAATAATTTACTACACCCATGAGCAAGAAAAATTCACTTCTTCAGTATCAAGGACTCACAAAACATCTCAGACTCAGATTTTCTGTGGAAAAAATCACCACTTTTTCTTGCATCATTATATAACTATCTCTTTCTATGCAACCTGATTCGAGAAAGAACTAGTGGTGATACATATGGCACAAACTTTCCCGTATTAATTTTCTATTTCCTTTGGTCTCGGCTAGCTATTTGGACTTGCCACATACTCTTGTCACCTGCCATTTATCGCCGCCTTAAGTAAATTTTTTGAAATTTTCTTAATTATTCGGTTTTTAATAGTAAAAAGGAATATTATTGTCATAATACTAAAGAACAGTAAAACATCGTCGTAAATGTGATTTTCTTTGAAATATTTAGAGCTGTTTAAGAATAGAGAGGTTGAAAAATATGGCTTTTAAGCGCTTTTGTAAATTCTATTTCACAGAAAACTTTTGAGTTTTCGAAAAAATTCATGAGGAGTGATTTGGAGGTATCATATTAACATCAAGTATGTTCAAGAGATTAAACAATCTTCAGCCAATAATCTTCATACTTCGCATACACTTACTGATCTATATCATCCAACTGATGTGTTAGATCTTTATAATAGTCAGCATACAACAGTTCTCTTTAAATAACACACAATGTAAGATAACACCTTTGTTAAAAATTAGTAATCTGGTATAAAATAGTATTTTTATCCATTTTAGTAGTGTCCAAAAACAAATTTGTGTACAGTCTCAAAATAAATTGATTCTTTGCCGAAAATAAAAGAAAAATGTGACAAAATATTTTAAATTTAATTAAGGGCCAATTAAAAAATGGAGTAATAATAGCGAAACATTAGTTAATAAACAACAAAACGAAAAATGTTTTGAAAATATTTATTCATTTGATTATGACATTTAACATTAAAGTACTATCATGTTTCATAACTGATTATACTTTTATACAATTGTAATATCAAATTACAATATTTATAAAAGACAGACATTGTTAAGAAATGCATATTACAAGAGACAATCAGAAAGTAATGCCTTCTATGTTTTCTACTGAAATAAAATTTGTTAAATGAAAAATATGAATTTGGCGCTATTACTCAAACATCCATCTACAATCCACCGCAATAGTAACTTTCTGCGTCAACATGTGGCTGCACAGCAGTCGTTTGAGAAATGGCCGACATGTTCGAAAGAGACCTCATTGTGTGACTGAATACAGAAGGTGTTGTGTGTTGTATACAGAAGGTGCATAATGACCATTCGCATTTCCGAAAGACTGCAAAATGTGTACGGTGATGCAACAGTGGAAGCGCTGTTAGATGATGGGTTCCCCTTTGTAACGAAGCAGGAGGGTAAACACCGTAGGCTGACGAAAGGCGGCGAGGGAGTTCGATGACTGCTGTCATTACACTCTAAATTCAGCAAGTCGATGACTTCATTCACGGTGTCTGCTGGTGATTGCAGACCAATTGAGGGAGATAATGCGATACAATTCATCGCACGCACATTTCACCTTTGGCATTCAAGAAATTCTGTCACACAACGCTGTCTCTTACGAACATCGATGTCTGCAATTTTCAAGCAAATGCTGTGCTGCACAATGTTGACGCAGAAAGTTAAACTGATGTGGAGTGTAGAAGGAGGTTCGGGGTACAGTGCTAAATTCTTTTTTTTCAGTAAACTAATTTTATTAAGTCGAAATCATAGGAAGCATTACTGTCTGACTGGTCCCTTGTGTATGATAGTGTAACAAACCTATATATCACGCACGTGTAAACAGTGGGAGGGCACCTGGCGAGAGTTCCTGACCCTGCCGAATATCCTGAAGGAGTTCAACCCGAACCTGACGGGGTACGCGGTGCAGACGCGCTCAGCGCACAGAAGGCGTCCGTTTCAACGTGGCGGAGGGCGGCGCATTCAGCAGCGACCTGCCCCTGCAGGCGCGCAACCTCGTCAAGCGCATGCGCGCCGACGCCGGGCGTCGACCTGCAGAACGACTGGAAGGTCCCCGGCATCTGCCTCCCCTGCACGTGGATTGGAACAGGCTTATTTCTCCCGCACTCCTCTCCAATTTCTTCTTCAGTATGGGTCGTACAGACAGATTTCTCCCGCAATCTCTCCAATTTCTTTCCTTCAGATGGGTCCGTACAGACAGATTTCTCCGCATCTCTCCAATGTCTTCCCTTCAGATGGGTCGAACCAGACAGATTTCTCCCGCAATCTCTCCAATTTCTTCCCTTCAGATGGCTGGTACAGACAGGTTTCTCCGGCACTCTCTCTAATGTCTTCCCTTCAGATGAGTCGTACAGACATATTTCTCTGGCATTCTCTCCAAAAGCTTCCCTTCGGATGGGTCGTACAGACAGATTTATCCCGCACTCTCTCCAATGCCTTCCCTTCAGATGAGTCGTATGGACATTTCTCCCGCATTCTCTCCAGTGTCTTCCCTTCAGATTTTCCCGGCTCGAGTGACTCTCGAATAACTGCCTCTCAGAGGGGTCGTACAAACGTCTCCGGCACTCTCTAGTTGCTGGACTGCTCGCTCCGGGTCCTCAATGACTCAATAGTTCAAAAGCTCCCTAAATATTAAAAATAATATTCACAAACGCTACGTATGATTAAGTGCAATTTCAAATGTAAATGTTCGCGGTGGATTCCTCAGACTAATTGGAGTTTGATCGATCTCTCCCTTCGCAGATGGTGTCAGTAAACGCTCTCATCGCTCCATTTCTGAATTATCAATTCTCTCATAATCACTATCGCTATGATATACTCTTGAGATCATCAATATTGGTCTTCAATGACTCAGTAGTTCAAAAGCTCCCTAAATATAAAAAAATATTCACAAACGTATGATTAAGGGCAATTTCAAATGTAAATGTTTGCGGAGGATTCCTCGGACTAATCGGAGTCTGACCGGGCTGCCCCTTCGCAGATGGTGACGCTGATGATCGGCTCCAACGATTTCTGCGGCTTCGTGTGCCTGGAGGAGGACATGAACGCCACCGTGCGTCGCCACGGCGAGGACCTGGAGCGGGCGCTCGACCACCTGCAGGCCTCGCTGCCGCGCACCATCGTCAACCTCATCGTCACGCCAAGTAAGCCAGCCATTCGCATGCGGGTCCAGTACGAAGCACGGCTCACTTGCGTTGGCCAGATCGGTTTGCGAGCTGGCAGGAACTAGTGGTGCTAAAATAGCGCGTACTTTCTCGCACGTTCTTTTGTGTAAAATTACGAGCAAAGTACTGAAATTTTCCAAAAATTGTAGATAGTCTAATTTCAAAATATATCTTTAAGGAACCGATTTCATTAAGAAAAGAAACATTATATCTTCGTAATTGTAAATGACGCCAAAATTTTTGAATTTTGACAATTATAAAAAATACGAGTTTTCAACGAAAATGAGATCTTCATCATCCTCTAAAATGTCCTTCACGCTATCCAAAAACAAAATTTAATCAGAAACGATGGGGGGATTTTTTGAAAATGTGGAAAATGTTACAGGGGCTTCATGTAAAGGACCCCCTAAAAATTAAAATATCGGTTTCGCATTCAAGGGGTCGGTAAATAAGTTAGATCGATCGGGGAATAACAATTTTCGAGAAAATCGGCAGAACAGTTTAGCCATATCGTTGTCCACAGACGGCCAGACAGACAAGCAGAGAGACGAACTGACGGGCAGACAGACGTTTTGGCGTCATTCGATTTGAAGTTATAAAGGAACCACAGAACATGGATTATGGATACACCACGTTGTAGATAATTTTTTTTTTAATTTAGCAACTGGATTTATCTAGTTTTTCGTTGCCAGGGCCCTGTAATAAGACTTTTCTGCTAAAAATTCGCATGCGGAGCATTACATAACTTTCTCTCAACTCCGTACCCATACAGTAGAAAAAGTAGTACTGTTACGTAGTAACAGATATAGGCGTTCAAAGATTGTATTCTCTTACAAATTAATAATAGTGACTTTATTATTGTGGCAATAGTTGGGTCACCAGTTCCGCTCTTGCGTCTTTCAAATGATTAAAATCTTTAAAACCTCATGTGCTTTGCAATGAAAGTGCTCTTCTGTATTGATAGAGATGAATATAACATAATAAATGTGATGATTTTAGTCAAAATTAGAAGTATAAAAATATAATGCTACTCGGCCGCGTCTCGATCTCTATATTTAAGACACTTTTCAAAATAGTATGACGAACATGAAGAAATAAAGTTCTTCTAAAACAGGACACACTATCTTGTATTATTTGACCAGTTTACCTAATATCATAATCAGAGCTTGACTTATAATATTTTAGGTCCCGAAATCCGCTCCAAATTATATATTAATTTAATAGAAACATCTATATATTTCTAATATAATTTAATAATATTATGAGTTACCGGAATGCCGTTCCGGCCCGTTCGGTCAGAAATTAAGTTCTTATCTAATAATACCTGAACCAGAGAGAACGTATCACACCTTTGAACTGTTCTCGCGATCAGGGACTGGGTACATCTCATAAACCCAAGACATACCTCTGTGAGTTCTCAACCAGCAAAAGTATTTGCTTAGGATTATTGAGACTTTGTAAAAGGAGTTTTTATTTTCTTAAAATAAACGAATTATTAATGTATAAAGAATTAAAAACTTACAATTTCCTCACCAATTTTCAAAATTTTAATTAAGGAAGCTGAAAAATATCACGTTGTTAAGCATACATACTGTGCTATATACGACATACCCTGAACAATTTAAATATAAATTTCAAATTTGCAAGCATTAAAGTTAGACCAGATATATCGAGGGATTATGCATGTTGATAAAAATACGGTACATGTAAGAACTCGTATCTGGGTGGAGACGTACATTCGGCGTCACCAGCCCTCTGACCATCCCAAGCTTCGCGCCACTGGGTGGGGCAAGGAACCGAGAAGAGGTCGGTAATAATCGTCTTTCCAATTTTTTCATTATCTTTCGCCATGAACTTGCCGTGACTGTGAGAAACATCAAGTTCACCATTTCACTAACATATACGAGGCTCTTGACAGTATTCCCGTAGTGTTCCAAGCCACCCCTATAACGAGTATGTGCAGTGTTCCTACAGTGTAAATAGCGGTCATAAGTAAAAAAGTAACTGTAGAGAGCAACAAGCACCCATTTAAGTGAGTGTTGTAATGAGTGCTCAGAAAGTGCATGTAACTTAGACTTAACAAACTGGGCTTGATCTCCCTGAATATTGTCAAAGTATTCAAAATTGTATCATTGTATTTTAATTTGTTAATATGTTAATTTTTTTTCAAGAGAAAAGAGAAACTTCTTGCTAGATCGACTTTGTTATTGTTCAAAGGGTAATTTTTTTGTTGTTTAAGAACATATGGATTTAGGTTTGGAAATTTTCTTGATACATGATTCCTTTTCTAAGACAAAAAAGATATCCACAATCCTGTATATTAAACAAAACTTCCGAATATTTTGGCTGTTGATTATGAACAGGTCAGAGGTGTGTACTTCTAACACTTACAAGTAAAGAAAATAAAGTTAGATGTGGTTTCAATTGCGCCCAATCTGGTCGGCAACTCGAATTTATAAACAATTAGAAAATTGTCATAAAATTGTTAACAATTAATAGGAATAATCAGAAGAAAATTCCCAAACATAGTCTTGTGTGTGTGTGATTACAGGAGAGAAATAGAAAATCTTGTTATGTTTGTATAATAGTAAGACAGGGAGAGAGTGTATACAAATAGTGATTTATTAACTACAAGATGGCAGATAAATTTAATAAACAAAGGTCCAGCACAGGATAAAATGTAATGAAAACCTGACAGCAAAATTAAATGAAAGTAATGAAAATATGACAGCAAAATAAATTGAAAGTAATGAAAATATGATAGAAAAATTAAATTAAACCATACTTGAGATAGAGGAAAACATAACTTCTAAATTTAATGAAAATAAAAAACAATTAGAAGCCAAACTAAAGCAACTGTTGCAAAATTTCAATAGACAATTGAAAGTCCAAGTCAACCAGCTCAAGCATGATTTACAGGAAAAAGACATAGAAAAGACCTGGAAAAGAAAACAAGTGAGATAATAGTAACTTTATGCACAAAGTATTGAAGAACACCTGAAGACATTTAAAAAGTTATTACAACTTCTAATCAAAAATGATTTGCACTGAATGTTGAAAAATCAAACGTTTGCACCAAACAAGTAAAAGTTTTAGGTTTCGACCTCACTACTGAAGGTATTAAGATGAATAGAGATAAATTGTTTGTGATTGATAAAATAAGGTCTCTGAAAAATTGCAAACAACACAGAAGTTTCCTAGGATGAAATTACTATTTTAGTAGGTTCGTGAATATGCTGCTAAAATAAGTATATTCTTACAGTTACTGAAGAAAAATGCAAAATGGTTGTGGACTAGAAAACTCTTGGATGTTTTTCAAGTTATTAAAAATGAGTTTTACAAATCATGCATATTACCATTTTCATCATTTAAGCAAGAATTTATATTAAAAACGGATGGTAGTAATAATGGAATGGGTGATGTGTTGTTTCAAAACATAAATAGGGAAAATAAGATAATTATCTTGGTAAGCAGAGTACGTATATAAGGGAACTGAGACGAGATATACATCTAAAAAGGAATTAAATGCAAGTTTGGTCAGTATATCGGTGGAGAGAGTATGTTGTGGGAAGGAGTTTCCCTGTAAGGACTGATCCCAAGGTCCTCATATTCTTAGAGAGAGCTCATTTCAAAAATGACAGGTTACTTCAGTGCAGTATACGGTTTCAACAATTTTCATATAAAGTTGAACATTGTCTGGTAAAGACAACGAACTAACTTACTTATTGACTCGTAATTCGGGTATAAACGAACAAAATTGAATTTTTTTACCAATATCTCCATTATTTATTAGTATTATGGAAATGTCAGGATTAACTTGGGAAAATATTAGAAGATTTCAGAACGAAGATCCGACAATGAGCAAAGCAAAGAGAATTGTAGAAGGGAGCCTAGAACAGACAGATCTCGGTGCTACAAATTGGCAAGAGATTCTTTGCATTGGAAGGTTGTGGACGATGTACATACTTATAAGAGTCAAGATTAATCCCAATAGTTACCGGATTTGTATGCCAACAAGTTTTTGGGTGGAAATAATCTGGAGGCGTCATTCATGTTTAGCACATTTTGGAATTGATAAGGTGAATACTGCCATTTCTCAAATATGTTTCTGGAAAGGAAGGAAGAAGCAAGTAAAGGCTGAATTAGCTACATGCCATCTTTGCCAAAAGACAAAATTCCCTACCAGACGTTTTGCGGACGAACAACAAGCAATCCTGCCTTCTAAAGAAAACGAATTGGTGAGCATTGACGTGTTCGAACCTCTACCAAACACAAAATACGGGTACAGAAAGATTTTCGTTTATATGGATGTGTTCTTAAAATGTGTCCAGGTATTTGCAGCCAACACAAAAAACTGTCTATTCAAATTGAATAAATTCTTTGAATTTGCAGGGCAGTGTGAAAAGGTTTCGAGTGACAACGGACCACAACTCACCAGTGAACAGTGGATTTCGGCCATGCAAGAGAGTAACGTAGAACATATTTTGTGTAGGATACTTCACCCACAATCCAACCCTGTGGAGAGAGTTATAATGGAATTCAGAATATCCAGAATATTCAGAGCTTATTCCCACCAGAATCCCCAGGAGTGGTATTTGCTTTTACCATATATCAACAAATAGTTAAACCAAGTATATCATGATTCGATAGTAATACGCCACAAGAATCACATTTTAAAACAAGAACTAAACATCCTTTACAAGCAATATGGTATGAAGAAGTTTCTTACGTAAGACCTCAGAACGAATAGATCATTGAAAAATTAAATAAAGCTGCAACCATATAGTTTTAGAATAGGAGACTAGGTTTTCCTTAGAGTACCAAGGATTTTGGATCAAGAAAGTAAATTATATGCTGTTTTTTTCGTTTATTTGATGGACCGTTCATGGTGTCGAAAATTAATGAATCAAATTCGCCTGTCCTCATAAATGAAACTAATGAAATTTGTGGACAATATAATTTCTACAACTTAAGGAATT